TGTTGTTCTTGTTGTTTATTGCCCTTAAAACAAACCACCCAATGTTCACATGTGCACAGTTTTCCTCAGCCTCCACCCAGGGTACATAACCTATAAAACATCTTTGCGACTTCAAATCATTCTGCCACTGCAAGTGATGACAAGCTAGCCCAACAATATAAAGGATGCATTAACAATACAGGATAGCTATTTCCTCCATCTTGGTGAGCACCAAAGCAAGTTTTTTTTTGTGTTCTGTGAGGTCACTTGACAATTTCACTTCTGTTATCTGCGAATCTCCCTAATGGAGTTTGGCTCGGCTGAATTAGAAAGCAATTTAGGACTGTGCCACTGCAATGAAGGACTCCTATTGTTCAATTTTATTGAAGTATGTTAGTTATCAGCTGATACAAATTAAATTTGCTTCAGAACTTTCCATGAAGATTTCTTGCTTGCAATTGTCCAAGTGCAACTAAACTTTTGAGTCTAGTTACAATATAGCCTCTACTGTTAGGTCCACCGACAAAATACAGTCACTCCACCTTATAGTAATAAAAAACATCCTTGCAGTTGATATTACACCTTATCACGTTGTTGAGACATCTCAAAGAGCTTCACAGAATATACTGTAAAGTAAATTGACTGTATATTTGTGGGTGAAACTCGGCAGCCAATTGCGCACAGTACATGCTATAAATCACTTTGAGACATCTTCCTGACATGAAAGGCGCTTTATTATTTACATTATTATTGCCTTTATCTTTTGCCACAACACTCTAAAATAGGTGAAAATTGTGACCTGTGAAATTGTAAAATTGTGAACCAATTGTGTGTTAATGATCTCATTGTTGATAAATGTGGTCATTCAAGAACAAAAGACTGGCTGAAGTGCAATGGTTGGACCCAAGGCCAGTCATGTTGTGGCCTGTGGTTTTGAAATGCCAGCTTTAATTACCATTTAAACTTATCTGCAAGCTGTCAGTCTTATTCTACAAACCATGGGCCAGAAATGCAATGCCACATTGGGTAAGCTTTGGGCCCAAGGAATAGAGTGGAGAGAAGGCATTCACACTGGTTTATGTTTCTGGCAACTACTGAGTCTTGATGTGTATGTAGCCTCTGCTTATTTGATGTCTATTCAGAATTGGAAGGGAAGTATTAGAGAATGGTACAGCACAGAAAAACAGTCCATTTGGGCAATCATTTCAGCCATGCTTCCTCTATCTAAATCCCTTCTTTCCTGATTGCTCCTCATACTCTTTTGACAATAATAAACCTATAATAAACCAGTGCCTTGGGACGTCCTCCCGACACGAAAGGTGCTATACAAATGTAATTTGTTGTTGTTTTGATCCAATTTCCTTCAATTGCTTTCTAACAGAACCCACAGACTCTACCTCAACTGCACTTTGTGACCCATTCTCCCCACCTTCTGCTTAAAGAATTGTTTCCCATCTTCTCCTTAAACTTTTTCTTGATTTTCTTAAATTTGTGTCTCCTAGTTACTGTCTCATCCACTAGGGGAAACAATCAATTACTATTTATCCTATAATAATCCTTCACAATCTCAAAGACCTCTGTCAGCTCTCCCCCTTAACCTTCTCAGCTGCAGTGAAAACTAAGTTTTTAAGTCCCCCTCTTCATAACCGAATCCCATCTGAACTGAATTCCCCCCATCCCGAGCAACATCCTAGCAAATCTACTTTAATTTTTTTTGCATTTCCTGTATTACCACTAACAGGGCAACATGTTTTGGACATTAGGTGTAAATTCAATCCCAAAGCATAGCATTTAACCTTTCATGCTTAAAAACATGGTGAGAGACGTGAGCTTTACCTGCTGATGATGTGTCGTTGCAATAGTAATCTCACCTGCAAAATAGTCACTATACCTTACAGTATATGCTGTGAAGCGCTTCCAGATGTCCTAACGGTTCGAAAGGTGCTACATCAGTTGCAAGGATTGTCACTTTTTACCATTTTACTGTTAACTTTTACGATAAATAATGCTCAGTACATGCACTTTATGCTCATCCAGACAGAAACCACTCTCTCGTGGGTGGAAGTCCCTGCAATAAAATGGCCATCCTTTAACATTGGTAAAGTACATTCACTCCGGGCTGGTGTGGTGTGGGCAGGAAGATGTTACACTGCTCCAGTAGGGGATGCTCTTCTTTGGCTCGGGTTAAAACGCATTGTTGGAGCAGAGAAGAGGGAGCTTTAACCCCACATTAAACCCAGTCTGGGGAGCATTGCTCAATTGCTCATTGCTCCTGACACTGAACGCTTGTAACAGAGAGGGTTCAACACGTTTCGTTTTCCTCGGGAGGTTTTGCCCGACCAATTTAATAAGAGGGATCTGATTTTGGAAGGTTAAGAACTGATGGTGGCAAACTGTTCTCAGATTGATGTGACATTGTGGAGTTGCATGTCGAGGCACCAGCACACACTAACACACACACACACACACACACACCACCTGGCAGGATCAGTGGTTTCTTTCTCCAGAACTTCTTCAATGTGGAAATCACTGCATGACATATGCAGACACACTGTGCAAGTCGCAACCGTCTGCAACGCCAAGATTTTGCCAGCTCAAAGGGAACTCAGATCTTTCTTTTGATCTCCGAAATCATAATTATGAAAGAATAATTACAGGGTGACGCTCAGACAGCCTCAATGGATGATTTGCAAACGCCACCTCTTAGCAGAATCCCACTTTAACAGGCGTTTTTGTCTTTACTATTTACAGTAAGTAAGAAGACAAGTGCACATTGTTTACACACACGTTAAATAATAGGCTGCTGTGGTTGTCGAGGCACCGATTGTCCAGTGAGCTTTGTTAACTTATTTAAAAATACACCATTTCATTGCAAGTGGTTTTGACTCATACTGTTTTGCAGCATAATTGAGGGGAGGACTCTTCGCCTTTGTCTTAGACTTTGCCACATAACTTACTCATTTGAGTCGCTTTTCTGTCCTTTCTGATACCTGCTTTCGGGTGATTTCAGGTCTATTTTCTGCTCGAAAATTGCATGACATTTTTTTTAATGGCAATTATTACCCTCTCCCGGGGCGGGGGTGGGGACAGGCAGTAAAAGCCTTATCCTCATACTTTCTGGGAAGTCGGTGCAGAGTCTCTGCAAGAGCCAAAGGAATAAAATGCCATCGATTTATGGATTCGGTGGATGAAGTAAGTGCAGGTACATTGCAGTACATAAACCTGCACTGAATAAACCCGAGCAAAGTTCACTGATCTTCACACTGATCTGAAACTCAGCGCAGATCCTTCACACTCGCGCTCCTCTCGCCCTGTATTGTACTCCGGTGTAGTGTCAGACTGACTGAAGTCCAAGTTTATGAGCGATTGGTACCATTTTACTGGACAGATCTGGAGATTTTTTTTAAAAAAAAGTTTCCTAGATGCCCTGCACAGCTTAGCAAACACTCCGAAGGGTGGGGGGTGGTGTGTGTGTGTGTGTGGGGGGGGGGGGGGGGAGGCTTTGACCTGCAAACCAACCGAACGTGAGGATTAAGCTTTCTCTGTGGAGATTGATGTCTGAAGTTTTTTTTTGCCTCCGGAGGGGTTTGCAACCAGCAATATTATACCACCTGTTGTGTCGCCAGTTGGCAGTCTGTGTTCACCCTGAACTCAGAGCACAACCCACACAGCAGTGTCTGAGCAGATCAGGGACTGACTGGGTAGGGGGGGGGGGTTTGGGGGGTTTGGGGTGGAGGGGGGTGGGGGGGAGAGACCCTGCAGTGAGCCAGAACCCTGTAACAGGCAGTCAGCACTTTAAACCATCTCTCTTTTTGGGTTGGAGTTTGAAAGTCGACCGAGAGAGAAAGAGATAGAGAGTGAGAGAGAGGGAGAAAGAGAGAGAGAGAGAGAGAGAGAGAGGGGCAGAACAGAAAAAAAACACTCAAATCAACTTCTTTTTACTTCTTTTTTTTTCGAAACATGTAACAAAAAGTAACTTGAAAGTGTTATGGGAGGAATAATGCAATCCAGCTGTTCTCTCCCGAGCCACCTCCTTCTCAAAGGAAACTTTTTCACTACTTTTTAACTGAACATAAAAGTTTATTTAGAAGGAGAGAGAAAAAGACACACAAGTGTGTGTGTGTGTGCGTGGAGAGAGAGAGAGAGAGAGAGGGACAACTTTGCCATCTGATGTTTTAAAGGGAAGGAGCAAAAAGCAACAAAACGATCGTCGATTTAAGGAGAAGATTTGGGAGGAGGTGGTGGAGGTGGTGGTGGTGGTGGTGGGGGTTGTTTTTTTTTGCGGGGGGGGGGTGGGGGTGGGGGGGATAGAGAAAAAAAAAGTTATCCAGAAGTTTATAAAAGTTGACAGGTGTGGGGAGAGAGCGCTGGGGCTGCGCCTGTTTTCTTTTTGCAGCAGAGACTTGGCGTCCGGCACTTACACAGCGCGAAAGTCGGGGTCACTTCAACTCACCCTCGTAGCAAAGCCGTCGAGAGAGAGAGAGAGAGAGAGAGAGAAGGAGAGAGAGGGAGAGAGAGAGAGAGAGGTGCGGGGGAGGTCGGCACCGTCGCTGGATTCGGTTTAACGTTGACAAGAGAAGGAGGGAGTGGGGGAGAGAGAGAGAGAGGGAGGGAGGGAGAGAGAGAGAGAGAGAGAGAGGAGAGAGAGAGAGGGAGAGAGAGGAAAAAAAGAAAGGAAAGGAAAGGAAGAAAGGAAGGAAGGAGTTGCTTTGGATCGGAATGTGGAAGCCACTATGTGATAATCTGCTGGAAATGCTGGTACCCCGGGCCCCCCGCACCCGCCAGGCTGCCCGGTAGAGAGCGGCCGGTGTGAGAAAGCCACTGACTGATCGGAAGAAGCGCTCCCCTCCCTCACCTCACCCTCTCCCCCCCTCCCTCCCTCCCTCCCTCTCTCCCCCTCACTCACTCACCCACTCAGTGTGTGTGTGTGTGTGTGTCTCTCCCTCTCTCTCTCCCTCTCTCGCCCCCACAGCGCACGCCTTGTTTTTTTTTCTCTCTCTCTCTCCCCCCCCCCACCCCCCCACAAATGTCCCTATCATTAATATTGCTGCTAATATCCTCTCTGAACTTCCGCCATCATGGGTCGGAAGCCCAAATCAACAAGTTCCAGCCTTCCAACAGCCAGGAGCAAAACGGTAAGAACTTTTTTTTTTTTTTTTTTGGGGGGGGTGGGGGGGGGGGGGGTGGGGAGGGAAGGGGGGGTTGTAAATTTTCTGTACCGCAAGTCCGGCGGGAGGGGCGCTTTCGGTTTGAATTTGGTGAGAAAGTGGCTGTTTTGTGACTTGGTTGTGTTGTTGTTGTTGTTGTGGTGGGGGGGGGGGGGGGGGGGGTCGGGTCGGCAGCTCAGTCATTGCAATGGGGATAGTACAGTGCAGCACAGTGTCTCTCCTGATCCCTTACAGGTATGGATTGCAAGGCAACCCCCCCCCCCCTCCTGATCCCTTACAGGTATGGATTGCAAGGCAACCCCCCCCCCTCCCCCCTCCTGATCCCTTACAGGTATGGATTGCAAGGCAACCCCCCCCTCCCCTCTCCTCCTCCAGAGCACTGCAACACCACTTGGTGGGGTGGGGGGGGGGGGACCTGGAGTCCCATGGGGATGGGGAGGTTAAGTTTGTGTAACTTTTTCGAGCAGATGCATGTGTATAGCATTTCTGCTCAAGGTCCAAGCGCTTTGCTTTCACTTCCCAAGACAGCTGCTGTGTGGTTGGTGTGACCTCCTCCTATGGCGATGGGAACATCTACGTGTATCTGTTTAGGTTGTGTATTTCCGATCGGGTGGCTGTTCCAAGTCGGTTTGTTGTATTTTACGCACAGCACACACTCACAGCACACACTCACAGCACACTGCACACACTCACAGCACACTGCACACACACTCACAGCACACTGCACACACACTCACAGCACACACTCACTGCACACTGCACACACTCACAGCACACTGCACACACTCACAGCACACTGCACACACTCACAGCACACTGCACACACTCACAGCACACTGCACACACTCACAGCACACTGCACACACACACTCACTGCACACACACACTCACTGCACACACACACTCACTGCACACACACACTCACTGCACACACTGCACAGACTCATTCACAACACACACTCATTCACAACACACACTCACAGCACACTGCACACACTCACAACACACGCAGCACACACCCTGCACACTCATTCACAAACACACACTCATTCACAAACACACACTCATTCACAAACACACACTCATTCACAGCACACACACTCATTCACAGCACACACTCATTCACAGCACACACTCATTCACAGCACACACTCATTCACAGCACACACTCATTCACAGCACACACTCATTCACAGCACACACTCATTCACAGCACACACTCATTCACAGCACACACTCATTCACAGCACACACTCATTCACAGCACACACTCATTCACAGCACACACACACCGCTGTAGCTGCTTGTAAACGCGATGACATCTGGCACCTGCAAAAAAAAAAGCAGCGATCAAAGCGGAGCAGCAACAAAGCTGCCTTCACAGTCACAGCAGCTTGGACGAGCCGAAGGGGGGGGGAAGCGATCAAAAGAGCCGGAAAAACAAGCTGTAACTGTGCCTCCAAAGTCACTACCAACTCACCACATCTCAAAGCTCCCTCTCCCCCCCCACACACACACACACAACCACAGAGATATTACACTACTGCGCTGCACTTTGATTTGCTCGGTGTTAAGGTCACTTTTCTCCACTGCAAAACTCCTGTCTGTTTCACAAACCGGGACTCTACCCCCACCCTCTACTTTTCTTGGTTAAAACAAGACTCCCATCTGTTATAAAGTTTAAGGTCGGCTGCATTTTATTTAGGGCGAGCAATGCCTAACATAAACGAGACTCGCGAATTTCTCGCTCAGATTCGGTTTTGATGTCATCGAAACTCACACACACGCTGGAAAGCAACGTCTGAACGTTATGCTTCGAATGTCGCTGCACTTTTGTGCATTCGCTGTGTTACACGAATGCCATTTATGCAAGGAAAGGTCGCAATTGGCCGAGACGCACAACACGCCAAAAAAACACCACGATTAAAGCAGATTGGGTTTAGCCCCAGAATTGATTTGTTTTTAAAAAAAAGCAAAAAAAAGCAAAAAAAAGACAGTCCGGGCTGCAAAGGTGTGTCTTCGCCAAAGACCGCCTTCAAGTCCAAACAGACGTACGATAAACACACGCTTCCTATTCATTACTGCCTAATTATATATCCCAGGGACTTAACAGGTTTAGATTGCAACCCAGACTGTCTAATAAAACAGGAGAACATTCCTGCATGTGAAAAAAAAAGGCAGTTTCCCCCACCCCTCCCTCCTCGCCTCTCAACCCTCGGAACACTTAGAAGAATGCAGTGCGGGTCAGGCACACAATAAACCCTAAATTAGCTTAATAGGTGCATAAATGTGTCCTGGCAGAGCCAGATTTATAAACTTCACAAAATCTCTTGAGATCCGTATAACAATTTGCAGCTGAGATCATAGGATTACATCAAGAAGATTTCATGCTTTTGTTTGACAAGTGAAACCGTGGATGTTGTTTTCCCCCCTTTCCCCCCCAACCCCCCCCCCCCCCCCCCACACACACACACACTCATTAATTGTATGGAGAGTTTGGACGAGCCGAAAAGAAGATATTTCTTTTCTCTGTCTCTTCACTCGGGATAATCCTCAGAGCTCCTGAAAGGTCAGGTGTGGTTCAGCTGTGTATTGCTGGTCAATATACAGTGATGGTCCAAACAGACAGACTTGTTTCTAGAGGGTGAACTGTGCTGAACCAGAGAACAGCAGTGAAGTCCTGTACTATTGTAAACTGGAAAAGATGACTTCTTAAAGACTTGCTGAATAAATCGTTTGCAAAATAATATGTTGCCACAAATACCTTCAATCTTAAACTATTGCGAGATTAATATGCTGTGTGCTATTGATAGGTGATATTTTGCTGTGTTTTTTTTGGGGGGGGGTGAATAAATGTATTGAACCAGAACTAATCTGTACTTGATGAACTGAACCAGGTGATAGTTAGAGAAACCTTTCCGCCGCATAGGAAAGTTAAACTATGATTGGATGTGTGTTTCCCATTGTCTTCTCTTTATTTGCACTCCTTGGCTTCCCGTCAACATCTTTTCATCCGTGGCTCCATTAACCTCAACATCCCCAGCCTTTCAGTTAGACTTACTGAAGCTGTGTGTAACCCAGGAGTCAGGTTTGATCCCCAGTTGTCATTCCTTCCCCACATCCAGTCCCTGACCAGGACCGCTTTCCTCCAGCTCTGTCACATTGCCCACCTCTGAACATACCTCACGTCCAATGCAGTCAAAACCCTTCTCCACACATTTGTCACCTCCTGCCTCAATTATTTCCAATGCCTTCCTCACTGGTCTCCCCAGCTCCACCATCCACAAATTCCAACTAATTCAAAACTCTGTTGCCCATATCCTCACCAACAACAAATTCCGTTCTCCCATCACCCAGTCCTTGCCAGACTCCACTCATTTCCTATCACAGAACAGATTGGTTTCAAGATCCTTACACTTGTTTACAAATCACTTCATGTCCTGGCACCACCCTACCTCTCCGACTTGCTAACACCCCACTCCATCACCCACCCCTCCCCTAACCCTCCTGAACATCCCACATCCTCTCCACTCCACCATCCGTGATCGTGCCTACAGCCACAACACCCTGAATCTATGGAACTCTCTTCCTCAATCCTTCCGACTTGCCTCTTCCTTCAGATCACATCTGAAGGCTTTCTTCTTCGAATGTGCCTAAGGTCACCTCCCCCTGGCTTGGCATCAGGCTCTGCCACTGTTAAGCGCTCCAAGAAGCTATCCTGCTTCACAGTAGTGTTATGTACAAGGTCTGCTCTAAAGACCAGTGGCAGTATTTGAGACCTCAATGAGTTTACTGCTGCCTGTAAAGGCTATTGTTTTTTACTGCATCTAGTTTGTAACTAGACTGTACTGTAATACACCCATAATATTAACAGACTAGTTGTTAGGATTTCTAACCACTTACCTGTGAAATATAGTGAGCTAAGGTTTGGCTGTGAAGGATCTATGACATGCTTACACTTTGAAGCAAATGAGACTTACATGCCATAGTCTGTCATGTCATTTTTGTCTTCTGGATGAACTTGAGAGCCTCTTTTCAGAAAGGGTATGGGGCTGCTACACAGATTCTTAACAGTTCCTTAACAGAGACTTTTTGGAGTGGTAAGCACACTAAGACTGCTGATCTACTGCAGAAAAATAGAGTGCACTTGAAAGCACCTTAGGGGAACTGGTTCTCATAGACAAGCTCACAAGCTAACAGGCATCAAGGTCGATATAAACTGTTGAGGATTTTAGGTATTTTTCTGCACCAACCTATTTTTTATTCTGAAAATGTTGCGTGTTTATATGAATAGCCATTATTCTGCACATTTCTCAAATGTGGTTTTTATTTGTAAGATACACTTTAACGTCTTCATTGAGAAAATCTTTCCAAGACCAAGAGGGCAAGATTGTAACTTGCAGGTGTCATATTGTGACCAATTGCAAGTTGGTGAGTAACCAAGGCTGACTATACCGCAGATGCTGCGTCTCTCCTTCCCTCTCTCTGGGCAAGTCTTGGGCCTCCACTCAATGCTTCGTCACAATATCAGAGCTGAGATTAAGAAACATACTGTATTACCCACATGAGGTATCACAGTTTCAGACCTATATCATAGTACTTGACAGAGTAGCATGTTGGGTATGTAATGTATTGTGTCACCTACTTGGACTTTGAACTGTCACGAAATCCATGGTTTGAGATTTACCCCTTCTCCAGAAATTTTTGCTCATGCTATGGTACATGATAGAAAACATGTGCATATGAAAGCTAGCGAAGGGCATTCTCCATTCAAAAGGGAGAACTGGTTTGGTTCAGAATCTACTAAAATGTGTTTTGCTACACATTCTCCACACTGCTGTCCATGTTACATCAGTTTGAATTAGTTTCCTTGTGCAGACTGGAACTAATCTTCCTGTAATTGGTTCTGCTGTGTACATGGGCGTCTAATTTGAAACTGATCGTTTTAAACCACCTCAAGGAAAATG